TACTAAAACTAAAAATCTGCCTGAAGAAAAATTTGTAATCTATGAATTCTACAATGTTACCCATATAAAATTTTTTTCAAATTCCATATATGAAAAAATATCGGTTTTAAAATCATGCAAAAACACATGGTTCATTGTACAATTTTTGTGTACTACATATAAGCTTTATCTAAATGTTTAAAAAACTATTTAAGATACCAAAAATTCTGTTAAAAACATTTATGACTTATTAAATTCCACTCAATTTTTTTGATGCTTAAAAATTTGAAGTTTTATAGAAATTGGTACTGTTAGGACTATACTTTCTATAGACAAAACAAAGTTGAAACTCCAAATTTCCATTTTGCATCAAATTTTTCCAAATGTTTTCATTCTTTCGGGAGATACACTATCTTCGAACTCAGCCAAGTGCTTTATAAGGTAACTACATGTTTGTTAATTATTTGTTTTCATATTGTTTACTTTTGAATCCGTCAGCTAAGACTATATTATCTTAAGAAAAATTAAAGCTACAACTGTAAATTTATAACCTAAATCAAATTTTTCTAAATATCTTTATCCATTCCGGAAATGCACCATCTTCAATCTCAGCCAAGTTCTTTATAAGGCAATTACACGTTTGTAAGATTTTTCTCTCATATTGTTTACTCCCAAATTGGTACTGCTAGGACTATATTATCTTTAGGCAAAACAAAGCTAAACTCCATATTTTCATTTGGCATCCAAATTTTCCGAGTATTTCCTTCCTTCCTTGCAGGAGATATACTACCTCAATCTCAGCAAAGTTCTTTATGAGGCAACTACGCGTTCGTTAGTTTTTTTTTGCATATCGTTTACTCCCAAATTATTACAGATAAAACGGTATTATTTTTAGACAAAATAAATCTAAAACTGTAAACTTGTTTGTTACATCAAAATTTCCTAAATATCTTTATCCATTCAGGAGATGCACCATCTCCAATCTCCAATCCAGCAGAGTTCTTTATTAAGCAACTACAAGTTTGTAAGATTTTTCTCTCATATTGTTTACTCCTAAATTGGTAGAGATAAAACTGTATTATGTTTTAGATAAAACAAAGTTTAAACTCTATATTTTTATTTTGCATCAAAATTTTACAAATATTTTCATCCTTTCAGGAGAAGCACCATCTTCAATCTCAGGCAAGTACTAAATAAGATAACTACAAGTTTGTAAGTCTTTTAATTCAGAT